CAAAGTATAGCACCGGAACTATTTGTCTGGAAGGCGGAGCACGACGACTTGGTTCTAAAACATGTAGAAGGACTGGTTGCATTGGATCTGTATCCGCTGGGATATGGAAGGCTAAGAGGAGACTTGATAGCTGCTCGCAACTTCCTGAGCATCCCCGGGGACTCCCACTCCGTCAGTTGCTGAATCTTAGCTGTAGCACTAATCTTAGAGGACACAGAGAAACTAGGCCAGGAACGTAGCAAGTTAGACAAGAGGCACAACCCCTATTCCCAAGGTGTTCCTAAACTCTGGGATGCCCTTCCTGCAGACGTGATGTGGGTCATTTTGTCTGAATCCTTTGGGAGCCGGCTTGGCATTTACTTGAGATGTGGGTGGAATATACCCAGAATTATCTAAATTTTAATAATAATGATAATGATTCACTTTATTCCACACAATTTGTGGCACAATTTGGAATTCTTAGCATGATATATTGCAACAACAACAAAATATAAGTATATACTTACTCCTTTACTACATTTCGAATTGTTTTGTGCAAAAACTTTAAGTAATGTGAAGAATGTTAAAAACGAAAAATTTTTAGAAAGAGACTGATTGATTGAAATGGGATTTTTAACTGTTACAAAGTTGATGTGCGATTTCTGTTCTAACACTTTTCCTCACCAAATATGCGTGCCAGGCAAGGTGTAGTTGCATTCTTATACTTAGCTGTACGAGCATGCAGTCCTATGCCGTTTCCCCTTGTCCTCCCCGAGGATATGCATTGAGGGAGGTGTGAGTGAAGTGGATGCTCACTGTCGGTTAAAATTTCTATAGCTTGTAGCTTGCAGGAATTTATATCTCTATCAACTACAGTGTTAATCAGTTGAGCCAGAGACACACCACTCACCTCGCTGACGGCCTTCAAAGCCCTACCCAACGTAACATAGTCCTTTTTTCAGAAGACCAGGAAATATTAATGGGGAAAAATATAGAAGAATAAGTAAAATGCTAGGATAATAAATTGTAAAAGAAGCAGTCGAGTTGTGCCGGAAAGCCTTGGTTTCTTTATGTAATAAGTTGAACGAAGGATTTTTTCACAAGTCAACAAAATTTGGGACCACCAACAAGGGTCAGAAGTAAAACCCAACCCAAAATAGTTCACACTGGATTTACTTTCCGCAAAAATACCATCGATGCAGCAGGTGTCATGAGATTTAAGCAGCTCATGCCTGAGGCTAAAATTAATAGTCTGACATTTAGAAAGGTTTAGTTTGAGACCATCTGCCAACTTCAGACAAGAATTCATTTAACTTCCAGCAATCCGAGGAAGAGCTGACCGGAATAGAAACCGCCAGGTCATCAGCATACTTGATAAAATTATTTTTAACAGAATAAGGCAAATCGTGCAAAAGCGAAAACAGAAAAAGAGAAAGCACAGCACCTTGAGGCACACCAGCTTTAGTAAGCAATGAGGTCGATCGCATCCCTTTATGGATAGTGTACTGTTTCCTTTCGGAAAATGGGAATGCAGCCACTCCGTAACCCATGGCTCAGCGCGAGCCGTGGCAAGCCTATTTAACAAAAGTGGTCTAAAAACGGTCAAAAGGTGACCTCATTATGGCATACAAGATCGCCCATCAGGCAGACCATGCAAACAAATCAATTTTGCCTGCAACTCAACGATCTTCACGAGGAAACCCCATTAAGATAGCACACTAGAGAGCCAACACCATACTCAGGTCCCAATTTTTCTCCCTAAGAGTATGTGCTTTATGGAATGCCTTACCGCGACACATAGTTATAGTTCCTTCAGTCGACTCATTCAAGAGACGATTAGACAGTTATGTCACCTCGCATGAACTACCACGGACGTACTCAAGTAGTCACCAACCTCAGTAGCCCCAAACTCCCTCCTAACTACCACTTAATATCTCTCCTTAATACACCCACATTGCCTACTAATTCTTCTGTAGGAACCAAACCCATGCGACCATTCGGGCAATTCCCAAATACTTTTCTTTCGTTCTCATTTCTCTTTTCACCCTCCTTTTCTTCTCCTCCCCTTTCTCTTCCCTACATTATTATTTTTTCCTCTCTTTTTTTTATTCTCTCTTCACTCCTCTACCACTACCTTACTATTCTCTTTCAGGTACCTACACAGACAGGAGTCACAGCAGTTCTCTAAACTTCCCAGCAACCCGTAGCTCCCCAATCCCTCTACAAATTACAACCTACTAACCCACAAAACATCCACCTCACCGAAGCTAAAAGCAAGAAAGCACAGGGGATTTCCTCGTCCAGTGCATGAGTGAACTGAACAACTGGAACCAAGCCCTAAGAACTAGACTCGAGAGATCAAAAACTACCAGTTTTCTTCGCTCACACTATCAATATTGGATATTGAAAGGCTGATGTATAATCCAAAAAGGCACAACGAACACACTTAACACCCTTATCGAGACTAGAAACAATATTATGTTGCAAGGCAATGGCTGTATTTAAAATACTCCTCCGGTTTTTGTAAGCCAACTGTTTTGGACTTCTGAAAGGCATTAATGAAGGCTCAGTCACAAGGAGAAGTAACTTCTCTGTTGTCTTCAGAAAAGGGGAGGCTACAGCGATGGGTCGAAAAGTAACACCTAGTTCAGAAGATGGCCCAGGCTAGGTGCAATTTTTATCTGCTTCCAAGCAGTGGGTATTATGTTTTTAGAAAAGGATACAGTGATGATATCTGTAAGTGGATGGCATAAAATATCTGTACATTTTCTAAATATAACACTAGAAACACCATCAGGACCTAAGTTTTGGGAAGGATTCAAGGACATTAGACATTTAAATACATCATTTGTATTAAAACCTGGAAACCAGCTATCCACTTGACCTTGGACATCGGGAAGGGTGAAATTGGCTTGCCGACGTATAGATGACTTGTTTAAAGCACAGATATCCGAACGAGTCTCTTTCGTCATCCGTTTTAGCTAGTAAGCTCTTTAAATAGTTTCCCTATATTGGGAGAGTTCTTACACGATAGGAACTTCTGGTTGTATATAATATTCAGACGTTGCATTTCAGACTTAATTAGGCAGTTAAGCCTTTTAACGCAAGGGTGATCTCTCGCCTTGTACAACCTTTCCTTTTCTCTCCGGCCCCTCTTGAGATGAGGAGGGGAAAGTCTGTCAAATCTCATGTAAATTGGTTGAGCAAGGCAGCAGATATCGAGACAGCTCGTGAAATTGGTGAAAGTGTTGTCTAAGACTTCATCAGCAAATACATCCCAGTCTGTTTCGATAAACGTGCCTTTCAAACGTAACATATTTTCTTGTGAATGGCATTTTCACTGAACCTTCCTTGAAAGGTATCCAAAAGCTTTCCTGTATAATTTCCCCTACACTTTGGGCAAAACACGAACAATACAGTGGTCGGAATTTATCAGCGGAGCCCGTTTACGGGCTTCATGTATGCCAGATTCATTTGTAAGTGCAAAGTCTATGGTGTTGTCAAGACGAGTGGGAAAGTTAACCATATTTTTATGACCCAGTGATAATAGAAAACTGCAGTCACATGAGTTAAAATCTCCACAGACAACAGACAAGGAGTTTCAAAGACCGGAGCAGCAAATTCAGTGAATTTATCAGCAAAAGTTGACAAATCTGAGAAACTGTAGTCAGGTGTGACATACATGTTTGTTACATACATGTTTTTGTATTTGTTCAAATGTTTGGGACGACATTTGATGTTAATGCACTCATTTTTTTCTTTAGAGAAGCAGAAGTCTACGTAGTTTGAGGCGGAACAGTTTGCGCCACTAAATGTTGATACACCACCACTACATTTCTTCTTCGAAAGGCTTCGATCTTGTCGAAATAAGTTGAAGCCACCCAAGCAGATTGGAGCATCATCATGCAGGTTATGAAGCCGTGTTTCCTGTAGCATTATTACACCCGTGTTTCGATAAACATTTGTGGACGAGAGCGACCAAGGTAACAGACTTTATTCGGCAGTGACCTGCAGTTTGTGCTAGATACTTCCGAAATAGTCACTTGATCTATGGTCATACGCTTAGGAGCTCGCTGCCATCCACCATGGTGCTTCTTAAATTTCCTATCAACCTGAGAAGCGATAGGTTGTAATGATTTTAAAAATGCTCCTTAGAAATTGTCCTGGTGCGAACTTGACAGATGCAAAGACCAATCACTAATTATTCGGACTTGTTATATACCCACGAATACGAAACCAAGGAAGAACACGATAGCGTAGTCGGATGGAATAGTATATTTGGGTGGTTGTGACAAGATACCGATGCGTTCCAAGTAACTGGCTAGAGAGTGGAATACGAGCAGTGCAACGTGACATGACAGTGTGCCAAATGGCGAGGATGCCTGACCGGATGCCTTCAGCTTAGTGAGTCCAGTTAAACAATCAAGGTCAGCATCAATGTTGAATATCGTCGAAAGCAAGGCTATTGATTTAGGGGAAGTGTGTGACGCCACAGCTACAGAATATACAGTACGATTGGTTGGCATAACTGGACGATTAGAACAATGCAGAAATGTGAAATTTAGTGCAATATATTTGGTGGCAAAAAGGGTAGCCCAGAGTTCAAGCAGGCCACCAGCTACATTTGCATATCTTAACCACCACTGTTCGCTCTCACTTTATGTGTACACACAAAAGGAGTCACCCAAAAATTGTAGGCTCAGGAGCTAGTCATCGAAGGCTTCTTCTTTTCACTCAATAACTATTTGGAGTATTTGAATCATCTGAATGAAAATAATACAGTAGGCTCTGGTAGTAGTGTACATACCACTTCAAAATTCAGGGGATCCAAACAAATTAATTAAAGGTTAAAAAGTATTCAGGGCTACCGAAAATCTATATTACAACGTTCGTATCTAGTTTGCTGTTCTTCTGTGTTTAACGATACCGATACCAAATATATGACCTTCGCCGATATTTGGTTTTAGTTCTGAGTTCATCGTGGTGATCCATGTCTGTGTTTGATGAATCCTGGACAGAATATGGCCATCTTTTCAGAAGACGAGTTGGCAATGAACTTTGAAGCGGATTTTAGTAGTAGCGGCAGTGAATCCTCTTCTTTGTATAACTCTGATTCCGGTGTCAGTGTGACAACACCAGCTTCGTGTAGCACATGGTCGACTTTAGATTTTGAACGTCAAGATGATTCCGAATACATTTACTGTGATCTAAATCGTTTCTATCAAACATATTCCGCTGCAGTTATCCAAGCTATCCAGTGTCTTTCTGATGTGGATATTGATGTTGTCCTTAATGCGTCAACTTATTTATTCCATTTATGCAAAGGTGGATATGCATCGTTTATCACACACATATGTCCAGATATTTTCCTGAATATGAAAGTCCCAGTCTTTTGTCCCTCTTCTAGCAAGTATGTCGATGTATTACACTGCTTGAGTGGTATAATAAATTACCTTTCCCAGTGTCAAGAGGGATTAGATGTCATAGTGAACAGAGGAGGACTTGATATCATAAATGGTTTACTTCTTTTCCCATTTGAATCTGTTTTGTATTTTTGTGTTACTGCTTTACATAACATATTACTAAGTCACAAGTCAGCAAAAAGTTTTATCCATCGAACATGCATTTCAAATCGCTTAATCAATCTTCTTAATTATTCCGTGGAGCATGCTGAATCAGGAGCATCACGTTCGCAGAAGTCGTCAGTAAGCATACACAAAAGTATCAACCCGAAATTTCTGGCGGTCCTTTGTGACTGCTTGTATATATTAGCTTATAGACATGAAAGTACAAAAAGGTCCTTCAAGAACAAGGAGGATTATCTTCCCTCCTAAAACTGATCACTATCTCAACTTATGAAAAGGTTTTGTGGACGGCTACTAGACTTCTTCGAGTTTTGTCTGCTTGGATTCCTGTCAAATGTGAAATAATTTCTCAAGACCCTCTTCTAAGCTTTTTTTCTCATTGCTTAGAATGTCAATCATCACGTGTAGCTGCGAATGCCCTATGGACATTGAGGAACCTTTCAGATATAGCCGTGGATAAAATCTCTTCAAATGTTTCCGTTAACTTAGTAAAGCAGCTTCTTTCCCACTTGAAGTCCAATACTTATCCTGATAGTTGCGTAAACTATTCCTCCAATAATCTAGATGATTCTTCTGTATTCCGGTGTATTCTTGGGGCTTTGGCTAACTTAACATGTAGAAACAATGCTGCTAAGTGTTATATAGTTCGGGTAAGTTGCTTTTCATTATTACATTCCCGTTTTCTTTCGTTTCTCTAACTTCTTTGTGTAGTTTTCATTGATTTTTGATCTGTTTTTCAACAAGTGATGTCTTTTTCTGTAACAAGGACAGTAGGTCAATTGCCCATGGTTTGATTTAACAGTATAAGCAGGACCAGCTTGGGAGAACAAATATCTGTGTGCGCTCAGTAGGACAATTATAAAATCACATGAACTCTCAGCTTGATTGGTTTAGTTGTGATTGCAAACTTTACCCATGAATACTAACATTCATCCCTCTTGTTGTTCGTATACAGTAATCTGAGTAGGTTTTATTGTAGACTATTGTTCTTTGCACTTCAACCCAAGCATCACATTAATACCTTTTCTATGAGTATTCTCTTGACATTGAAAAGATTCTGGCGATATACTATTTAACCATCTACGTTTCCTCTAAAATTTACTGCCTCTGATTTCCAAATGTTTCGGAATAGTTTGTGCAAATCAGATACCTTTTGTATCCGTGCGGAGATTTCGTTGGCCACTGATCCACCGAGACTGATGCAACTTCCCAGATAAGTGAAGTTTTCAACGCACTCAACCACTTCACTCTTTATTGTTAGCTGGGCACCTTTGAAGACCATTTCTGGAGCAACAGTTTGAATCTAGGTGGCAAGAAATGCATCACAAACATTGTCACATCGCCATTCAAGGTGTCCAGAAGACTGTGCATCTTGCCAGCGTCTTCACGTAACAGGACTGTGTCATCTGGATATTATAGGTCTATTGAAACTTGTTCTGTGATTAGGTCAATCCCTGTGTGGTCAGATGTCGAGAGGGAGGCGTCCATAAGAACGTCCATGATAAAGGTGAACGAGAATGGAGAGATTAGGTATGCTTGATGGTTTCACTTGAAGTACTCAGCTCACCGGACGTCTCATCATAAGCTCTAATGCGCCCACAGCTGTTCCAGTAAACAGCCTTCAGTAAGGTGATGTACTTACTCGGTAGCCGTTTCAGTGAGACATATTGCTATAAGATTTCTCGATTGACGGAGTCGAATGCTGCCTTCAGGTGGGAAAATACGGCTGTTGTCGGACGCTGGTAGGCATTTCTGTGTTTCAGCAGCTAGTGGAGTGCGAATATTTGGTCGATACACCCACGGTCAAGTCTGAAGAATATATATGGGTCTACGACTTGAGTTCTGTGGTAGTATTGACACTCTGGAGGTCGGTCAGGGTTTAGGCTTTTGTTCCTTTCTATCCACTGTGTGCTGTTTGGTGTGCTTTTGGATAGGAAAAGTTTCTGAAACAGACTATTTACCTACTGTCTACTTCTTGAGTCATGAGAGAATTGAAGCAGGACAAAAAAGTTTTTAGGCTAGGCACTTGACTTACAACCAAATGAGTCACGGGTTCAAGCCATAGTGAGCCCACTGAACTCTGGATAGCCGAACAGTACAACTTGCCCTCATTCTTCAGATGTAGCTCACTGCGTACTGCACAGGTGGGGATATGATTGTTGAGTCCATTTCAGTCTTATTGGTGGATACGTTTCGTTTGACTTAAAGCATTTGGTCCTATCCACCGGTCTGAATCCTGTTAAACTATTCGGTCTTTGTGTGGCGCAATCGGTATAACTCGTCGTCTAACACATAAAGATGTGCGTAATCGATGTGATATAATCGTTGGTTTACAACTCTCTAGATGGCATCAATTCTTATCATTTTCAGATATCAAAAGCATAATCTTACCTAGCCTGTTATATAGATCTGTTCAGAGGTATCGTTATGGGTATGCATTATTCCCAATGGTGAGATTTCACTAACTTCTAATGGTCCTCCTAAATTCGACGGATAATTTACTTCTTGCATAGCAAAAAATATGTTGTACTATCGTCAAAATGTATTTACGTGACTATCTCTTCACACTTACCGCTTAAAGATGACAATTAATCATTGTGGGAAATAAACAGAACTGTCATGTTATGATAGTAGAAATCCCTAAGTTACTTATGTCGGTAATCCGATGAATTTCGTCGTGTTCAACTCAAAAATAAATGTCATTACCTAATGTGTAGCACTTTCTAACTAACAATGAAGCGATATTTTCTATCCTTTATTATCATAATTCTGTCTTGAGTTCTATTTACAATTACTTGTAGTTTTAAGATGCAAATAAGTTTATGTAATAATTAATAGTTTGCTTAATTTGTACACAAAATGGCTATCAGTAGTCATAGACAAATAAAATCAACGTGGAACCTCCCAAATCCAAGTGGATTGCTTTAACTTGCCATACTTCAGAGTAGTATACAAATAACAAGTGGCTAAAGAAAGATTGGTATCAAAATAGGAAAAGGTGTATGGGAGGAAAGGGAGTTTAAAAATTACGATAAGTCAAAACAGTTAAACTTTGGGATACGTCAAACAAAGAATATATCTGCTGTGCTGTGAGCAATTTTCAACCATTTCACCAAGAGTCCTAGATCACTGATTCCTGGCGAATTGAAGGACTCAGCCAGGTAGTTTACACTTCTCTATAGTTCTCAGACCAGTAGTCAGATTCTTTAAGCACTGGAGCCGTGTCTTAGTTTAGCGGCTCTAAGCCTTCTTCCAACCTTATCCAGTTTCCCCTAGCATTGCACATCGAAGTAGGCGGTGGCTTGACACGGGCAATACATGTTCAGACCAGCTGAGTCGCAGCTTCATTGGCTGACTTGCCTTTCTTGCCAAGTACCCTTAGTGCTATAAAAGTACATTTGGCCAGAAACTTGTATCCTTTCTCATCTTCTACTTTTAGCAACCCAGCTTTTCATTTCACTTTAAGTCATCATGTAGTATGAATATAAATATGATTGTGAAGCTTTTAAAAGTGAAATGATTGGAAGGAAAACTTTTTTCACCGTTACATCTTTGTACTGTGGAACAAAACTTCATGATACAAGATGGTAAGGTGCTCAAGATTTTTAAATCAAATATGGTATGAATACATCTTTACTACTGCTAATGATTTTAAACTGTTCCCTCTTAAATTTTTTCTGAAACCAATCTCACATATCTCTCAGTCAATAATGCTTAATGGCTCAAATTGCCCTACGTCAAATCAACATATAAAGATACTGGGGAAAAAATGAAAGATGATGGAAATAAAGGGTAGAAATATGGTTTAAAGCTATAGAGAGTCATAGGAGGAGAGAAGAGGGGAGTAAAACAATAGCGAAATCTGATATGGTGACTAAGATAATATGTGGATGCATCTGCATCGCTTGTGAGATCAATTGTGTGTCATATTAACTAGAGTCTCCAACTATCAGTTTTAGTTATCATGTGGCCCATACCCGAATGACTACATTTCTCTACATGGCTGAAATAGATAGTCAAGGACTTCTTGAACTGGTATCGTATTTTATTTCGTCTGATCGTTTTTAACTTTTCAACAACTCGAACTTACCTCGGACAGTAATTTAATTTTAGGCTTGCGGGAGCTTATTGATTTCAAGGTGGTATTCCCCACGAACTGAATTAGTTAGAGAAACATTGGAGACTTGATAGAAGTGAACAGAAGCTGTTTTGTCCTAGTGTGGGGCTCATCAGCAGTGCGTGCCAATCACCTTACCTGGGACCCAACCCATTGCCTCCAACATGTTGGCGACATAGCACGGTTTTCATCCCAAGTCGTCGTTCAGTAATTTTTCTCACATTCCGCTTGGTTTGTTCCACTGTGATAATCTGTTACAAGCACTTCGGAAAATCGCATGTCGAAATTGTTGCCAACGAGCAATGGACAGTAGTTCCGTCTGGAGGTATATGGAGATTTTGGTGATTTCAAGTTGACATTCACCACTTTGGACGACATTGTAGTTCAGGATTGAATGGGAAATTGTATTGCTTCGATCGAAACCATGAGAGCAATAGTTAATGATTCATGGTTTGGTGACACATTTTAGTTTTTCTATTTGAGTTTCCTGTCCTGTACTTATTCCAGCCGATGGTACACTAAAGTAACCATCAACTAAATGTGTGTAAAATACCTGATTAAATATCACAATAGATGACAAAAATTTTGCCATAATAACCCGCTGCAATTCATAATGTCGCTCTGTTATTGATTCTTGAAGAAATGTAGTCATCTTCACCATCAATAAGAATGCAGGACGGTCAAATTGATGACTTCTCATATCACCTAGACTCTCCAACTACTGGTTTCTGTTACTACATGCACTTCAACCGACTAGTCTACATCTGTCTGTATCGCTGTGACCAGCAGTCAAGGGCTTTATGCACTGATGTCATGTTTTAGTCTATCCCTGTCCTCCAGCCTGAACATACTTCGGCCAACGTTGTACGATTAGGTAGATGGTTATTAGCCATGTGTAACATAAGTCCCAGGCATTTCACTTGATAGACATTCACAACCGCACCAACTGGCTTTCCTCTCCTCCCTAAAATCTTACAACTTGATTTACACGTTACTGACATGGTGACTCCATGACACACTGTCTATGGTAAGAAGGCAACGGTGGTCAAACACCTGAAGCCTTCTGATATCCCCTACCTTTAGTGAGCATTTTTCACAGCCATACAGTAGAATAGAGCGAATTGCAGAAAAATACACTTGATCCTTGATAGGCAGTTGGATGTGGCGGTGGCTTCAGAGATGGCGGAAGCCAGTCGGAGACAGATTTTGTTGGTCAGTGACTAAAGCTCCAGAGATGATCCATGTTTCTCCATAAGTGAAGTGTCCAACGCACTCAGCGATTTCGATCCCTATTGGTAGCTGGGCCATCTCTTTTTTCTAGTAGCTAGATAGCCACTTTCTTGAGTTTTCGCTCTGTAGCTTATTCACCTTCATGCTAGTTGTACTTACGAAAAAGTGTGCATCGAATAAAATGATGTATACTGCATGTTATAGTATGGTTTTTCTTAACCAGGTTAATTATATATCTGTGGTCATCGTAGCATGGAGATGGATTGTCTAACTCGTAGCTGTTTCAGCAGTGGAATTCAAAACGTATGTTCAGGTAATTTATAACTCAGACACTAAAAACTACACAGATCAGTCTTGGATATACACCGAAAAGGGTTATTATGGCTCGAAATATGCACTATATTCCAGTTGGATCACGTGTTGTGTGTAATTTTCCCCAGTGTGATTATATTGCTTTTGAACACTCGCTTACATTACTTACTATTGTAGCATAAGTAAATTTTAACTTGTTGTCTAAAGGATAAGTAACAGTTACTTATAACTCATAGTGTTAAAGCAGCTGGATTATACTGTTTCGTCTGACACTGAAACGTTTGTCAACTAAAACCATAAGTTAAAAGTCTTCTCCATCTGAACATAATCTTATTGACGATGAAAAATACTGTATGGCTTAACGCATTTCTTTAGAGAGTTGACTTTCAACCAGTGGGTGATGAGTTTGAATACCGTTGCACCTATGAAGGTTCGGGCATCCAGGAACTGTAGTATCATTCACCTCATAGAATAGTGCTTCAATTTGTTTCTCATTCATAGAAGAAACAAGAAGACTGTAGAATGCTGATGACTGCTTTCGATTCCTAACCTTTTCTGTTATCATCTCACCATCTACAGTATCATCAGGCACTAAGATATACTAACCAAATACAAAAGTATCCTACACTGGCCACCTCTTCGCTTTTTCTAACCAGTTTAAGAGTGAGCGGATATTGAGCAGTGTGGAAACTGTTAAAACCTTATACTTAACTCCATGATCAAGCCACTGAAGCTGGCTTTTCAAGATGAGCATGCTTAATAGATGACTATCTGCATCACACTTCTGAACAAATAGTTTCTATAGAGATAGAATGTTATTCTTAACTAAATTGATAACTTACATCATTATATTGTTGCTGTACACTTTCTTTCTTATTCTCCTTCATTTATAGCACAATGGAATTGATCTTATCCTTCAAATCTTGTATGCTGAAATACGTGAGCAAAAGAATTATTATCATACTTTTTGTGACAATCTAAGTGATTCAATATTAAATTTATCTATTCAGTGTACTGATGAACATGACTGTTCAACTGTTCAACAAAATAGTCCAATTAAAACAAATCACAATAATAATAACAATTGTTTATTGAATAATAGATTTACAAAAAGTTCTGTTATCATGAAATCATCATTATCACCGTCATCATTGATAACACCATTAATAATAGTTAATAATGAAATGAATTATAATTCATTTGAAAAATTATCAATTTCTTCTTCAAGTTCAATGTCTTCAATGAAATGTTATTCAGTAAAACAAAAGAATGAATTATATAACTCACATCATTCTAATTTCAATTATTATTATTATCATAAAAATAATTCAAATATTTCATTCAATACACCAATATTATTAAATGGAACATTAGATTTAATTGAAGCGGGTATTCGTTGTTTATCACATTTAACTGTTGGACACATTGAATTGTTGAATGTGTTCAAGTATTTTATACATCAACGTTTTGCATCAAAGTTAATTATCTCATTAGGTACTATTTATCTACCGTCATTATTATCATTTCCATTTGATCAACATATAAATTTGTGTAGAAATAAAGATACTACTACCAATAATAATAACGATAGTAGTAATACCAGTACAAGTAACAATTGGGAATTCGATTGTTTAACACAAGTCCTTCAATTAACAAAATCTTGGAGTATTTTAGTTCGAAATCTATGTGTAACTTGTTCGAGTACCATAGTGACTTCAAATATGAAAACAAATCAAAGTGAAATACTTACTAACCCTAGTAACTCTAGTAATAATATAACAGTGAATGAAATTAATTATGGTTTATGGCCTAAGCATTTACGTTCACAACTTCGACATGCAGCACACAAATTAGTACAAAGTTTAAGGCATATAATGAATTCAGTAAGTATTGAAATTGTTCCTTTGATATGTGTTTGTTTTTATGTGTATAGTATATATTACTAATCACTAGAGCTATGACTTTCTAAACAACGGGTATTGAAATCGAATCGCACTCCATCTACTTCGGCTACAGCAACCGGCCAGTATTATAATCCGTCACAAAATAAATTTGTATTGAGTATCATATTATTATCACCATTATTTACTGCTAATTGTATGTAAATTTTCATTTGAAGCTAGAAAGACTCAGGGAATTTGTGTACCTTACTGAAGTTTGAAAGTTTATTCAAATGATCCTATTCCCCGTTAGATTTTTGTGCAATGTCATCTGAAATGATTGTTACAAGAAGACTGATTCTAGCTGGCTCAATATGAGCAATATTGAAATCATATGAAGGGTACTAAAAAAGAAAGTCAGTCGATGAACCTTAGTCGACTGAGATGACTTGGACATGTAACGCATGTGCGGAACCACCGCCCACCTTGATGTGCCATGTTAGGGGAAACTGGATGAGGTTGAAAGAGGACTCAGGGTAGCCAAACCAAGGTATGGCGCTAGTGAATGAGGTCTCCGACTAGTGATTTGAGAAGTATATACAGGTGTACAATATCTGACTAGGCTCTTAAGACGATAGAGGAGTCAGTGGTTGAGGACATTTGGTGATATGGCTGGAAAAAGGTCTCAATGGCACAGATGTATTCACCCTTTGAAGTCTTTTGAAGCTTGAATATTTACACTATCCGTTATCTTCAGACTGTTTATTCTGTCCAATTACCTCGTCTACTTTAATATCAGTTTGTTTCGATCCACTTGTTCATTTCATACCACTATAGAGTGTGCCAACTTGCAGTAATACACTTCTTTGTGAGATTCCACGTTGATTTTATCTCTTTGTCTAGAAATATGGACTGTGGCACGGCTCGAACCAACGACTTTTGCGTTGTCGGCTTGGTACTTTACCAACTAAAACAGCTACGAGATCTGGCTGCTGACCAAGTTTTAATTTCACTTCAATCACTATGATTTTCCTCTGAATTTACTGTGTTACCATCAGCTCATCGTAGTTACACTGACTACCCTACCAGGACTTTTCATCTCAATCTAACTTAACCTGAATTAGAGAAGGGGAGAATCATATTGACTACCAGTCAGACTGTATCAGATGGCCTTTTCTAAACAAGTTCATCCGTAGGGATCAGGTAATCCAGTCATTCAATACTTGATTAAAAGGTCACTCACAGTAAATTAACTTGTGAACAATAGTCTATCTCATTAGTTTTACTATCGGCCTACACACACACACATACACACAGTTGTCTATATTGAGACAGGTTTTTTGAATCAACGCAGCAAATTTTTCAGTTGATGACGCCTTTCGCTTGCAAAACTACCTCCATCTACTTTCATTATCTGCATAGTCACATTATATAATATTGCAAATAAATTAGACACGAAGAGAAGGACTAAATTCGCCTGTCTTATCCATCCATCCATCTTACAGATAACTTTAAGTTTTGGAGATAAATTCTAAATGTTTTCAAGGTCTGTTCACAGACAAGCAAACTTGCACGCGCTGACACACACACACACACAATGAGAAATGTATCCTCCTCATATATAAAAGTCTAATCACCGACTGCCGAAATTTTCAGACAGTGATTTATTTCGGCAACTTGACAGGTGGATATATTCCTGTGTATTGTAAATATCGGTAAAATGTGTAGGGGATAAATGGTGAAGAAGTAACCACAGGGTAGAAATGGAACCGATTTAGAAAAGTTTTTAAAAATAAGTGGGGTGAGACAGTAGGCTGAAACGTAGTAGTAGTAGTAGTAGTAAGTAGTAGTAGTATAGTAGTATAGTAGTAGTAGTAGTAGTAGTACCGGTAACAGCAGTCGTCTTATCGCTATTTGCTTGTTGTAAATTGCTATCATCAACAACTGATGTTCCATTTAGAGGAGGAAAAAAAAGAGAACACCCAGAGGTTGCTGGTTTGAATCCTGCCTGGGGCCCAGATTTTCATTCCATCCTCAATCATCAATCATTATCCGACTTATGTGTCTATACAAGTTGGTTAAATCATGTAAATATCTTGCTTCTATTTTATACCTTGTGGATATCAGTAGGATGACTGTAAGGTTCTTTGTACGTGTTCCTCTCTAGTTCGAGATGCTTCAACAAGCGACATTCTCCACTCCATCTGAGACCATTCAGGATTTGTAGTGAGTCACTCGTTTGAAAATCAACAGTGAACATTTTTTTCAGCCACATCTTTTTCAACACAACTTCTTAAACTATGATAAATCAATCATCTGGTGGTGTATCTCACTTCCTAATCTTCCGATTAAAATATCTCATTTGTGGGAACAATTGCCATCTGTAAGTCAACTGGGTTACTCATAACCGCCTAATTCAGTAGAATATGAGATTCTCTCAATCTTTAATAAAGTCTTTCAAACAATATCAAACGTACTTAAATTGTTTATCTGTTCTTACTAAGTTGCATTCAGTTGCTAAGAGGAAATTGCTCTTAAACCATCTAGCATACATGGTTTAAAAATAAACTCCCTCAGGAATCAGGTGCATTTTTATGCCCTGTGCAATCAGTCACACATCTTTGTGTGAACGTTACCCAAATCTCAGTATATGGAGTCGACCCAATAATGGAAAGATAACTACTGAAACCAATGAACCAAAGGTCTAGTCATGCATAGCAATACTATTGTTGGTGAGCACTTTCAATATTTAGCACAGATAGGGGAATCAGTTGATATCAGGTTGCGAAACTAAGTTGTCTCATTTGATTGGGACATATACTATATTGAAGCTTTATCAATGAATTACTAAACTATGCTTTTATGTTACACACACAAAGCGGTTGCATAGAATATAGTTTGAAACTGGTGGCAATTACGCAACAGCATTCATCTCCCCCCCCCTATTCTGCATCTTTCTTCATCTAACTGTTTCACTTTCTTTGTGATATTTTTCCACTGTTAATCGGTTTGGGCATACACTGAGAAGGCCGACTGGGGACAGCATGCGCCAGGCCCTCGAGTGGAACCCAGATGGGAAGCGACGAGTTCGGCGTCCCAGATGAGGGTGACATGGAGGAGATCGTGAGAGGAGGAAATGAGAGGTTGTGGGCTGTCGTGGAGCCAGGTTGAAAAGATTTCGGAGAACAGAGCACATTGGAGACGTGCTACTGAAGCCCTATGTTCCATTAGGAACCTAAGGTATAAGTAATATATAGTAATAATGATGATTGAAAGTGAACTGAAAATTCGGACCGCGGCTGGATTCGAAGCATCAATCACCCGACTTCCAGCCCGATGCTCTACCAACTCAGCTACGAGGTCCAAGTGCTGACTAAATTTTTATTTAACTCCAATCACCAAGGATTATACCCAACTACCATGCATCGCGTCGGAAACCTAGCGTTGGCTGGTTCAAATCCAGCCAAGGTCCAAATTTTCATTTCACCTTCAATCACCACCCAGTATAAATACTAGTCTGGCAAGCCACGGCTATCTCAGATAGCCAAATGCTAAAATAGTTTATTTAACTAAAGTAGACAATTAATGGTTTGGCATTTTCAAAAAGAAAGTGGAGAGGTGGTTCATTTTGCCTGGTTGCCTCAACTTCCAAACCAGTGACTCGCAGGTTTGAACCCCATCACGGCTACCGAGGTCTGGGTTGTAAGTATCCTTAGCCCACTGACACCATAGGCTAGTCAAAGTATCCAAGCTTTCGTAGACGTCAAAGACTAAACATATCTGCACCATTGTGACCGGTTTTCAGTCATGTCACCTAGAGTCCTCATCCACTGATTCTTAGCGTCTCAAGGACCTCGACCAGGCAGTTTATACCACCCTACACCACACCAACAGTCTGGGATTTCATGAACTGATGCCATGTTGAAATAGTGGAGAATATTTGTAGCGCAGGTGGTCATGGTTGCATTGTGTTCTCTGAGTTGGGTTTTTTAATCGTGAAGCTTTTATCGTCTTTATAGACGACACCATCAGCACTAACTTCAGTATGATATGAGCTGTCAATATCTCTCCGTAAGTAATTTAGTAGCTTGCTCTGACGACGTGGTCTGTGACTGGTTGTTTCCCTCGATTGTTGTGTCATTGACTGTATACAGTTTCCTGTTGGCTGTTCCTCTGCTTCACCTCTGACCTTTCTGTCGTTTATCATTTTTAATATTGGTCGATAGATTGGGTCTATGTCTATACATCTATTGATTGCTGACTGATTGACTGACCTGAATGCCAAGCTTCTAGGAATTCTCTGATATTCTTTATGTTTTCTCTGTCGAAAATTTCTACATTGCCGAAATTGAATTCATGTCCATAATTTTCCATGTGCATTGAAATGAGTGACGAAAAGTCGTGGCATTTAATAGCCAATTGGTGCTCATGTAGACGAAGGCGAAGAGGTCAACCACTTTGTCCAATATATAGACATAGACCCAATCTATCAACCAATATTAAAAGTGACAAACGACAGAAAGGTCAGAGGTGAAGCAGAAGAACAGCTAACAGGAAACTGTATACAGTCAATGACACAACAATCGAGGGAAACAACCAATCACAGACCACATCGTCAGAGCAAGCTACTAAATCACTCACGGAGAGATATTGACAGCTCATATCATACTGAAGTTAGTGGTGATGGTGTCGTCTATAAAGACGATGAAAGCTTCACGATTAAAAAAACCCAACTCAGAGAACATAATACAACCGAGATTGATGCCACCTCTTGGTCTTGTCACTCTGAAGTGAATCCTCTTCGAACCTAATCTAGCTTTCCGTGAAGCATAGTAAGTGTAGTGCTTTGCCTGTTAGACCAATCCACATGTAGTTAGCTGTTGTGTATATTCTGAGTACTATTTTTTCGATTCGATATAGTTTTTTTTTTAACGGATTACTTTCACACTAATAAATTGTTGAAATCGTTTTCTTTTCGTAAAAGACACACAACACAACTAACC